TAGCGCAAGGTAGATTTACAGTGACGCGATGAAAAAGATGAGTAATTGTGGTCTTATAATTATACATCATAATTTAAATTTTATTTCCACATAATAAAATCATCCTGATTAGTATGTCTAATACAAAATAACTATGTCTAGTATAAAATAATTCCAATTTGGATTTTTTTTTTTTTATCATCTAGATGTCTAATATAAAATAACTCCAATAAGTATGGATTTTTTTTATAAAATATTATAATTATTACTAAATGACATGTGAAAAATATTACAATAACTTTCACATTCTCATTTAAAACATTATAGATGATTAGAAATAAACACGTTAAACTACTAGAATAGTAGAACTCTTTAAGCACCGAATAGAATTGGAAATTATGCATATCTTGATTTTCAACATGAGTTCTATTTGAAACAATTGAAAATTATTATTAAAGCTCATATTCTTATTTGCATAAATTTTGTATCATCTTTAAGAGTTGAATCTTCTTCATGGTAGACACTCAAAAACAAAGAATATAATGTGATCTAAATATGTATAGAGATTTTTTTTATCATGTCTTGTTAAAAGAAAAAATTTCAATTCAAATAATAGTGAATTTAAAAATTACCAAGCAATTAAGAACACAAAACATTATCTCATTACAAATATGATTTAAGGTGTTATTTTCTTATACAAATAAGATAAGACCATATGATCAATTAAATTTTTTCTAATATAGATATGTATTTTACTTAGAAAATATTTATAATGTTTTTCTTATTATTTATAAATATTTTAGAATTAAGTAAGAGTAAATTTGAAAATAAAGTTTATGAAAATTATTCTTCGATTTGATTGATATGACATGTTAAAAAAATTCTCCAAATTTATTCTCACTTAAATTCAAATCCACTCAAATAAACAAAAAAAATTATCTTAAAATCCTCCTAAATCCACGTGATAATCTTTTACATACTAAAACCCCTCACTCTTTCATCTTTTGATCTTAACAAAATCAATCACAAGCATGATTGTTGAAAAAATAAAACTTTGAAGGAAAGTAATTATAATTTAAGATCGCTAATTTAGAAAACTTCGATGGTGTCAACTAAAAAATAAATACAATCAAATTTGGCAAGAAAGAATACAATCAAATTTATTAGAAACATCATTAATGTTTATTACAATAAAGACAATAAAATTTGACCAAACCGGCATTCTCTTGGTCTTGATCAAACTCAAGACATACCCTTCAATATTAATAAAAGAATATAAAGAAAAAGAAAAACTTGAGTATAAAATTTTCAAACAGAAGTTTGTTTGAAATGTTATAATTTTAAATAATTCATTTACTCTTTAAAATTTTATAATTTCAAATAATTCTTAACTAACTTCCAAGAATTTTTTTCATACATTTCAATTCTATGTAAACTTTAATTGCCCCCTTGTAAATCCCGATCCATACATAATAATAAAGTTCTTATGTAAAACATATTTACTGAAACTTTTACTTAAATATATTATATTTGGGTAGAACAAAAAATAATTAATTCGAAGACAAATTTCAAAAAGGTTGTAATAATTCTTCACTGAAAGATAAAAACTTCAATTAATTTTATTTTTCAATACGTCAAAACTACAATTATTAGGTAATTGATTAAGTATTATTTTCTTGAACAGATATAAAAAATAGAACGTGATATTTTAGAAGAAAAAAATTGGATTACTGTCTTGCCCTTGAAATTAGTATTATATTAGTTGATTAATTATTTAACAAGAAAATGAAATGAGATGAATTAATAACAAAAATGGAAAAAAATAAATCAACAACCATTTTTTGAAAAAAGTCAAAAACCAACTCACTTTTAAAATTAAAATATTACTAAATATTAATGGATTAAAAGTAAATTAAATCACTTCACTCAATAAAAAAAGGAATAAAAGCAACTTCAGAATGGTTATTATATAAAAAAAATGAAGTTGTGAAAGTATAATAATTAAAGAAAGGGAGGGTAATTGCTTTGAAGGCTTATAAATTATTTGCAAGATGCCCTATTTGCATAGCATGTTGCCCTATTTGCATAACAACAAATGAAACAATGCTAACATGGCTTTTTTCTCTTGCTTTTGATTAGTATCTTCTGATCCTCTTATTAAAAATAAATAAGTAGAATTCTAAAGAGTGTGAATTGAACTTTTAAATATTTTTCTTTTTGTTTAAAGTATAAACATGACTCAAATTTTTCTTTTTACTCTAAATGAAAACGCTATAAACCGTGTTCTGCATAAATATGTAAGAGATAGATATCAAAAAGAAAAATACATATACATTTATACTAGTTCACCTCTTGAAATAGGCTACATCTAGTTGTTTATCAACTTAATAAGGCTAAATCTCTAACTTCAAATTTTTACAGGCTCATTACACAAAACAAATAAGTAGAGTACACCATTTAACACTCGATCTTCAACCATACAACATCCAATCACACTTCGAAACCTTTCCACAAGCAATTCTTTTATATCCCCAATCAAGAAACCAATCTCAAAATCATAAAAATAAAATAGAAACATAATCTTCTATACAATGACAGCGGATAGTTCAGAAACAAATAATTCCTACCCATTACCCGACCCTGTTATCCATCTAATCGAATATGGATTTTAAAAATACTTACAATATGTATTCTGTACAATCGAATATCGGGTTAAAAAATACCTACAAGTTTTGCCACCCCTACCATTAACACCTAAATCACAACTCAACATTCATCAAGCACACAAAACGAATAAATAGGATTTTCCAATCTCAATCTACAACTTTCATTTCGTATACCACACCCAATATATCATAGAACAATAAACAACCATATCAATTCGATCAAACACCAATGGCATCAACGAAATTTAACATCAAAGCGAATAATAGATAATCCAAATCGATAAAGTATTGATAAAAGTTTAATTAGACAAACATGAAACAAAACTTTTAAAAACTAAAAATACTAATAAGAAAAGCAAATTCATTACGGATTATGCATCGGCCTTCTGGTAGACATAGGTGAGACCGCACTTGCCGCAGTAGTGACGATCGAAGTGGTTAGCCATGAAGGTTCCAGCGCCGCACTCGGTGTTGGGGCACTCCTTGCGGAGCCTCTGCACCTTGCCGGAGTCGTCAACCTTATAAAACTGCAAGATGGCGAGCTTCACCTTCTTGTGCTTGTGCTTGATCTTTTTAGGCTTGGTATATGTCTTCTTCTTGCGCTTCTTGGCACCACCGCGGAGACGGAGGACAAGGTGGAGAGTGGACTCCTTTTGGATGTTGTAGTCGGCGAGGGTGCGGCCGTCCTCGAGCTGCTTTCCGGCGAAGATGAGACGCTGCTGGTCCGGTGGGATGCCCTCCTTATCCTGGATCTTGGCCTTGACATTATCGATGGTGTCTGAAGACTCCACCTCAAGGGTGATGGTCTTCCCCGTAAGGGTTTTCACGAATATCTGCATTGCAGCTGCTAGGGTTTCCGATGCAGGGTTTCTGATCACATGGAAGGTTTAAATAGTGTAGGAATTAGGGTTTCTGCTGGGCTTCTTTTCAGCCCAAAACTTGCTGGACCCAACCCATTTAATATTAAGTTTTTGAAGAAAAATCACAGCTTTATTATATATATATATATATATATATATATATATATATATATATATTAGTTTTATTCAACGAATTATCACACTACATTGTAAAAAATATATATATAATTTTTCATTTGTGAAATAAAAATGTGATTTGAAATAATTATGTTATGTTTGATTTTTTTTATTTACTGTATTTTTTTAAAATAATTTTTCTATTATTTCATTTCAACATTAATACTGAAATTATATATATAAATGCACACTTAAACTCTAATGTTCGCTTTGTTTCTTTCTTTTCCGCGGTGGAGGCAAACGCAGAAGCTAGTTTGAGATATATATTCTCTGTTTAGCAATTTTAAATTCTTCTTCGCATTTCAGCGATACCTATTCAGCACGCTGTTCCATTCTAAGTAATTTTGATCCAAAACAAACAGCGCCTTGCGAGAACGCGCGTTTCAATGGCGGGAGGGAAAGCGAGGAAGGAGAAGGCGAAGGCGCAGCAGCACATGCCGTACCAGGGAGGAATCTCCTTCCACAAATCGAAGGGGCAGCACATTCTCAAGAACCCCTTGCTCGTCGACTCCATCGTGCAAAAATCCGGCGTCAAACCCACCGACGTTGTCCTCGAGATCGGTCCCGGTACCGGAAACCTCACCAAGAAGCTTCTAGAAGTAGCCAAGAAAGTAGTCGCCGTTGAGATCGATCCACGCATGGTTCTCGAGCTCCAGCGACGGTTCCAGGGCACTCCTCACTCCAATCGCCTCACTGTATGTATACAAAATACAAAATTTCACTTTCTCTTCAGTTTTCCGCACTCTTGTTTTTAGGAAAATTAATTCCACTGCGAATTCTCAATTTTTCAGTCAAATACAGTCAACAATTCAAAATATTTGATTCTGTGAAAATTGAAAATAACCAGAAACTTGAGTTGTTAGGAGGTCAGTGACTGGGTTTTTAAAATATGGGGCAGATTGCTTCAATGGGGTTTTAGGGTAGCCTATGAAAACAGTTTTCAACTTATATTTCGAGTGCTTATTACGATGAGTTATGAATTAAGTGTATCATGCATGATGAGCAAAGAGAATCCGTTTGGAAGAGCTTATTTTCGACTTACAAGATGGATACTTGTGTTCTGTTTTATTTTTTTTCATGGTTACAGGTTATCCAAGGTGATGTGCTGAAAACCGATCTTCCTTATTTTGACATATGTGTTGCAAACATTCCCTACCAAATATCTTCTCCTCTCACATTCAAGTTACTCAATCACCAGCCTGTATTTAGGGCTGCAATCATAATGTTCCAGAGAGAATTTGCCATGAGACTGGTTGCTCAGCCTAGTGACAAACTATATTGTCGTCTTACGGTGAACACTCAACTCCATGCTCGAGTCTTCCACCTCCTCAAAGTTGGAAGAAACAACTTCAGGCCCCCTCCCAAAGTTGATTCCTCTGTAGTGCGAATTGAGCCCAGGAAACCCCGTATTGAAGTAAACCAGAAGGAATGGGAGGGGTTTTTGCGAATTTGTTTCAACAGGAAGAACAAGACTCTTGGTTCGATATTTAGGCAGAAGAGTGTGATCTCCTTGCTTGAAAAGAACTACAGAACTGTTAGGGCGCTGCAACTTGGGCAAGTAGATTCATTGAAGGAAGCAGATAACAAAATTGACTTTGCTAGTTTTGGTGATGATCAAGGTATGGAGATGGATGATGATGGAGCAGATGATGATGAAATGGAAGTTGAGGATGGGGAAGCTGATGAGGTGCAATCTGAATTCAAGGACAAGGTTTTGGGTGTTCTGAAAGAGGGAGATTTTGAAGAAAAGAGGTCATCCAAGCTCACATTGCAGGAATTCCTATACCTGCTATCTCTATTTAACAAAGCTGGCATACACTTCTCCTAATTTCAGATGGTCAATTTTCTTGATAGCTTCTTCAGTCTTAAATCTACACTATTTTTTTCTTATTAGTCTTATCATTAGGCTGCAGTTTTCAAAGAAAGAGTGGTATTAGATAAACTTTTCTTAAGCATTGTATTTTGTTGAGATCCTTCATGGATGTGTTCTACCCCATATAATCTATAGTGTTTTGATCACATGTTGTTCTTCCTTCGTTACTTTATGAAAATCTGCATGTGCAGCTTTCTGTGTGGTGTCACACATTATTTTTTTGGCAAATATTCTCATTCTCTCTTTCTGCTGCAACCTGATTGGGAAGCTGAAGTGTTGATAATGATCATGAGGCATATTGCAGTTACAGATGAACCAATATTTTGTTAGAGCTATTATTTGTCACACGCAGGTTAAATTTCAACATTTGGTACTAAAATTTATAGGTAGTCTTTTGGTGATATGAGGCATATGATATTCTAAGGTTGGAAATGAATAAATGTCTACACTACCTGGATTGAATCAAATAGCCTTTAAATTATTCATGTCTCTTTGACATGGGTGCTTATGCCTTTTTTATTGGTATTACCAAATTAATATTGAACCCCTTTGTGGCCATGGCCATAATGAGCTCGTTGTAGTGGACGCTGAAACGAGTTGTTTCACGTGCTTTCTGTTTTTTACTTACGTTTAAATTGAATCGCAAGAGCTTGATTCATAGGCCCATTGATTATGAGTAAGTGAAGTTAATGATTATTTATTCTAAAAATTGCATGGCAGCATTTGGTTTGGACCTGATCAGTTAACGTTTTTGAAGGTTACTGTAGTACAGATAGAGGGGCACTATACAACTCAATCAAATTTTACCGATTTTGATATTCATGCCAGCCAGTCTTTTACTTCTGTTTTCCATTAACCAGAATAAAAGTGCAGACTACTATACTGTTGCAGATGCCTGGTTTGTGAATGAATCATTGTTGCAGAAGGTTACACTATTCAAATTCCAAGGACTGGCAACTGGTTCCCTGTCTTACCCCAGATAATGTTTATGACAAGAGAGATTCCATGAACCAAGCAAGAAGTTAGGTTTATCACTCCGAATTTGATATCACAGAACTTAATCACAGTGATTTCAGTTTATGCTACGTTATGCTTTGAACTATTTATCATTTGGTATGTCTGATATTCCGTATAACGGAAACATATTTCATTGTTATATGGTATTCAATCTAAATGAAATATAAATTATCTGATTGTTCGGCAAATGAATTGAAAATTGATCTTGATAGTCATTGTCCATGAGGTTCATGTATCCAATAAATTATATGAAAGATTATGGAAGCTTGCTAATTTTTTTTCTATTAATTTGACAAGTTTATAAATTATAGATACAGTTTAATTTTGAAAATCATCAATGTCATAACTGTTTTGTGTGTAAGAGAACTTAATTTGGAACATTTCAAGATAGTTACAACAAAAAAAAGGTTAGGAAAACAAAGGGGGAAACAAAAATAACTAAAGTTCTTATTACTAAATGATAGCAATCTTTTCAAGCTATGTTGGTTCAAATCTAGAAGAGATGTTATGAAAATAATATGATGCGGAAGCAAGGTGAATAATGGGGAAAGACTCATGTCCTTTGTTGTTTTAATGGTGATGGGGTGGTGTTTTGATGGTGTTCTTAGAGAGCTTAGGCCAATTCTAAAGGAATGTGGCTAGAAGAGATCACATGAAATGTTCTAGCCTTGACTTTAGAGATTAATATAATGACTCAATATTTTGACAACATTTCATTATTAATTTCAAAAGTGGGTTTACAAAGGGGGAGACACCTCTATGTATAGATGAAGGTGTCTCCAAAGTATACCAATACTCTAAAATGTTATCTTGCATCAAACCTTAAAAATCCTATCTTGGTGAAGGAGAGCTTGACATGTGCCACTTTAATTTTTAGAAAAACTTTTCACTCCTAGTCATGTGGAAACTCACTCTAGCAAAAGTTTCTCACTAGAAAAATGGCATATGGCTATTACCTTTGTAAGAAAAATCTCCACTAAGAGTTTGTCATGTAGAAAACTGCTTTAGCAAAAGTTCTCCATCAAGAAAATGACACATGGTCACTACCTTTGTAAGAAAACTCTCCACTAAGAGTTTGTCATGTCGAAAGTCACTTTAGCAAAAGTTCCCTACCAGGAAAATGACACATGACCACTACCTTTGTAAGAAAACTCTTCATTAAGAGTTTGTCAAGTGGCCACCATGTCTCATGTGGGACAGCCTCCACCAAGCTAGGGTTACAAAATTAATCATCCAAGATTAGCTTAAGCTAGGTGCAAATATCATCCTACAACTTAAGCAAGATTGTTTAAAAATCCTATATTACTTTGCCCTTAATACAAGACCTAAAAATAAATCCTACATTACTTGACCCTTAATACAAGGTATAAATACTAATAATCTACTAAAGGTGCTTTATGATGACCTAATAGAAAGTGTTTAGTTTGACCTTGCATAAATGACTCTAGCTCTTTCTTGAAAGTGCTTGCATAGATGGCATACCCCCTAAATACACTAATGTTGTGTTCATTTAGGGTGATAATATTTACAAACATTGGTGAAGATGAA